GGCTCCGAGCCAGGCGCCGGGCAGGCAGCGCGGGCTCTCGGCGCGGGCGCAGCGCCCCTTCCCCGCGGTGAGTGGCGACCTGAGCGAGCTGGCGGCCGGGGGCACCAACTTCGCCGCCAACTTGAGGCTGTGTCCAGGCGCTGCGCGGGCAAAGGCGACGGAGAAAGACAGGGGACACGCGAGAGCGGCCGGTGGGCGCAGGAGCCCGGGCAGATGCGCGTGGGGAGACCCAGGACCCTCGGAGACTGGGGACTGGACCCTGCAGGCGCGGCGCAGGCGAGGTTGACAGACAGATGGGACGCGCTGGGAAGGACAAGAACCAGGTGCCCAAGACCTTGGTCTCCTGGGTCGCGGGGCCCTCCTGCTTCTCCTCCTTCGCCTGGCACGGTGGCACCACGGGGACGGGGACAGTGCTGGGCGCGGGAGGTCAGGCTGTGGGTCCCCCAACTGTTGCTGCTATAAGTCTTTAGATGGGGAGCGAAGCGGGGAGTTGGGACTGTGACTGAGTTTGGCTGGGACCCAGAGGGCTAGAAGGGGCAGAGGCGGCTGGAGAGGGCTCGAGAGGGTGCAGGGGGCTGGAGAGGGCTCAGGAAGCTGGAGGGGTCACAGGAGGCTGGAGGGTGCATAGAAGGCAGGAGGGGCCTCGAGTGGTCTTGGCAGGCTGGAGGAGCTGCACGGGGTAGAGGGAGCACAGGGGACTGGAGGAGGTGCAGGGCCCTGGAGAGAGTGCAGGGAGTTGGAGGGGCACAGGGGGATGGTGGAGCACAGGCGGTTTGAAGTGCCACAGAGGGCTGGGGACAACGTAGGGGGCTGGAGTTGGCACAGGAGGCTTGGAGGGGCCTTGAGCGGTCGTAGGGGGCTGGAGGGGCTGCATGGGGGTAGAGGGGGCACAGGGAGCTGGAGGGGGTGCTGGGCACTGGAGGGGATGCATGAGGCTGGGGCACAGGAAGGGCCTTTAGTAGGCACAAGGGGCTGGAGAGGGTGCAGGGGGCTAGAGGAGGCACAGGGGGCTGGAGAGGGTGCAGGGGGCTGGAGAGGGTGCAGGGGGCTGGAGTGGGTGCAGAAGGCCTGACGGGCCTCAGAGAACTGGAGTGGCACAGGGAGCTGGAGAGAGCTGAGGCTCACAGGGGGCTGGGAGGGTACAGGGAGCTGGAGCGGTCTGGGGGGCTTAGGAGGCTGGAGAGGCACAGGCAGCTGAGGGCACAAGGGGCTGAAGTGAGTGCAGAGGGCTGGGGGCACAGGGGGCTGGAGGGGTACAATCAGCTGGGGGCACGGGTCTGAAGTGCGTGAAGGGGGCTGGGGGCACAGGGAGCTGGAGTGGTACAGTCAGCTGAGGGCACAGAGGGCTGGAGTGGGTCAGGGGGCTGGGGGCACAGAGGGCTGGAATGGGTGCAGAAAGCTGGAGGGGCCTCAGGGGGCCTTAGGAGGGGCGGAGAGGATGAAAGGCAGCCTCAGCTCCTGGCCGCCATTCCCCTGTCTGCTGAGCACCTGCCAGGCACATCTGCCCTCCCCTCCGCTGTGTCCTCTCAGGGGTCCCTCCCCAGCTCCCTTTCCTCCTTCCCTCACCCCTAAAACGCTCTCTCCTGTGACCTCCGGGAGTCAGTGTGGGCTCCCGGGTGGTTGGTGGGCTTTACCCAAGTGGTGACCACACAGCCTGCAGGTCCAGCCCCCCCCCAGGACAGGAGAGGAGGGTGGACAGGGTGTCCCAGGGAGAGCACTGCATCTGGGGGGCTGAGTCCTGACCACCGCCCCCGTGGCTGACAGCTGGGAAGGTGAATCCTGAGCTCCAGGTGCAGACGCGCCCAGTGCTTAGAGCCTGGCCGAGATGGCCAGGGTCGGGCAGAGGCCACGGAAGACCCCCCTGAAGTGTGGCCTTCCCAAGGCCCTGCTGCTGCGGCACCCGGACTGTCCCCAGAGCCCTGGCGCTCAAACCACCCCGGTTCCTAGACGTGTCTCCCCGCAGGGATGCTGGACTGTCCTGGAGGAGGGGAGGAGGGTGGGGGATGGGCACAGAGGTGGGGACAGGGGACTGAGGACGGGGAGGCTGCTTCCCATGGGCCCCATTCCCAGCCGTGCAGCTCCTGGCCTGGCCCCCAACGTCCAGCCTGGAGGTAACTCTGTCCTGGGGCGAGCGGGCAGGGAACTGGACTTGTGGTCCGCCCGGGGCCCCCAGGACCAACCTGGGGCTGGTGCCACCTGAAGCCTCTATAGTGTCCGGGGTCGCCGGCAGGGGGCAGCAGTGGGGTGGGGGGCGCTGTCCTGGGCTGGTGC